TTCTATTTGACTCTCAGATATGAAGTGCACCCCACTAATGTACTTTTTAGCACCCAAAAAATGTAAAGTTTTAAAACTGCAATGTGACAGCAGTATTTGACGCTTCTATTTGACTCTCAGATATGAAGTGCACCTCACTAATGTACTTTTTAGCACCCAAAAAATGTAAAGTTTTAAAACTGCAATGTGACAGCAGTATTTGACGCTTCTATTTGACTCTCAGATATGAAGTGCACCTCACTAATGTACTTTTTAGCACCCAAAAAATGTAAAGTTTTAAAACTGCAATGTGACAGCAGTATTTGACGCTTCTATTTGACTCTCAGATATGAAGTGCACCCCACTAATGTACTACCCCACTAATGTACTATTTCGCACAAAAAAAATGTACTTTTAAAAACTCTGATGTAACCGCAGAAATTGAAGCTTCTGTTTGACTCTCAGATATGAAGTGCACCCCACCCCACCCCACCAATGTACTACTTTGCAGAATTCTTTCCTAAGCTGTACCTATCAGCGGCAGCATCCTCTCCTAATAAGGACCGCGGCGCTACGCTTATATATAGAGGCTGGGTCAAATGCTGCACTGGCCAATCACAGCCATGCTATTAGTAGGCATGGCTGTGATGGCTTCTAAGGGCACACAAGTCAAACGCTTGTTGATTGGCTGCACTGCAGCCTTTCAAATGTGCCATTAAATCGCAGAACACCGAACTCCAAACCGAACAAACAGTGATATGCCCGTGTTCGGGTCCGGGGTCCAAAAAACCTAATGTTCGGTACGAACCTGAACTTTTCAGTTCGGATTCGCTCAACTCTATCCACGTCAAATCAAGTTTATTGGTCACAACATTAGAACAATGCTTTAGATTCCACTCTTTAGTTAAAAACATGAAACTGCAGTGGAAACAAGTTCACCAAAATTAGACAGCATAATTTTGGGAAACATTGCCCATTGCAGGAATGTTGTATTTTGTGGCGACATGCAGATGGTACGGTAAATACATTTCTTTCCTAACTGTAGATTGCTTTAGAAAATGAATTATATTTATGGTTTACTGATATTTTAAATACTAAATAGCTCAGTAATGCTCAAAAACTAATTTTGTCAGTAAAAATATCATTCTCCAGCATTTTCATATTCAGTATTTGTCTGCCTGCACCACTTAAAGTGAGTCTCTTTAATTTGCATTGATGCATTATAGCTATCATTCTGATGTGAAAGCAATTAACTGTAGGAGGATATGACACTAATGTACTAAAGTGAGGATACTTGGAAAATTAAAGTGAATTTTAAATTAAAGTCCAAAGTCGCTAAAGCAAAGCTGTCCTCTGAAAGCTTGGGGCTGGGCAGGGTGCTTAACACCCGAAACATGCAGTTTACATCATAGTGACCAAAATTCACACATAATACAAATGAAAAATGCATGGTCTACATTTACCCCAATTCCTTTTAGTCTTTACTATGTAAGTTTGGAATCCAGACCAGATTCCCTTTGGGGTTAAGCAGTTTCAGAGGCCCCTTTGGAGGTAACCACAGGTATATATTTGAGGAGTTTTTGGATAGTAATGTTACTTTAATTATAATTTTATTAAGCATGTATATAATTTGCATTGTGAGTATATTCATCCAAGCACTATCACAATAATTGTTTAGTTTTGACACAGTTTTTGATTGCTTTTATCACATTCATTTTGCATTATATATACTCACAATGCTCTTACAATAGATGAATTAAATACACTTTAGCTTATTTTGCACTAGCACTATTTAATTTAAATTAATTCCAGCTTCTTGGATGACTTTTGGTCGTCTAAATGACGCTGGACATCCTCACAATATGCATGAGGACTTCCAGTGTTGCCGGAATCCCCATAGTAAAGCAATGAATAATGCTTTCCTATGGGGAGATCGTTATGCAAGTGCGGCCTTTGTGGGTGGAGCTGAGCCAGCGCTGGACCCAGGTAAGTGACAGAAGGAGTTATTAACCCCTTCAGCACCGCGGGAGGGGGCCTTGACAGTGAGGGAAGCTATAGTGCCAGGAAAATGAGTTTGTTTTCCTGGCACTATAGTTTCCCTTTAATTTGGAATTGTCCTGGTGACTATAGTGTCCCTTTAAATAAACTTGTTAAATATAACTGATGTGGGCAGATGTGGATGCAAGAAAAATGTGAATCACTCAACTAAATAAACATAGATGAAAGACTCATTAATTAAATATTTTTATTGCTTTTTATACTTTTATTATGTAGGCTATAAAAAGTTCAGGCAGAACAAAACAGCATGTATTCCCCCCCACCCCCCCAGGAAAACATGTCATTTGATACAGAGCAGCACCACCTAATACTGCAAGCTAGAGGGAATGGCTTGTTTTATATGGAATCAATGAAGAGAACACTTACCTGGACCCACCACCATCACTTTAGTGACCTTAAGAATGTGTTACTGCCCTTCCATTACCTTTACTATAGACACTGCTGATTGATTAAATACATGTAGATGATGTGAGTAACGAGTACAGGGCAGTACGTAAATACAAAGATACAAGGTGGTTTTACAACACTGAAGAATGCATGTAATAAGATTAAAGACCTACAGACCTAGAGATGTAAGCATAATATGTACATAAAAAATGAATATTGCAGCTATTTCCATTTTCTAAGTTCTAATTTCCATTTTCTTTTTCAATGGAGAAGGAAAAAAAAAACAGTTTTCTGCTGCTTTTAACAGATTTACTGCTTTTGTTGTATAGGTGTGTACAGCTTACGTTAAAGGATCACTATAGGGTCAGGAACACAAACATGTATTCCTGACCCTATAGTGTTAAAACCACCATTTAGCCCCCCTGGGGCGCCCATGCCTCCATAAATATAGCAAAATCTTACTGTATTCAAGCCAGAAGCTGTAGATCTGCATGCTTTTTTTCTAAAAAAAAAAACAAGCAGTCTGCTGACATCAGAATTGGTGACCTGATCAAATCACAATGCTTCTGACAAAGAGGCAGCTCAGGGGCAGAGCCAGCATGATTCAAACACAGCCCTGGCCAATCAGCATCTCCTCATAGAGATGAATTGAATCAATGAATCTCTATGAGGAATGTTCAGTGTCTGCATGCAGAGGGAGGAGATACTGAATGTCTGGATGCATTTTAGGCAGCCATGACTCAGGAAGGATCTCTAACAGCCATCTGAGGAGTGGCCAGTGAAGTTATCACTATGTTGTAATGTAAACACTGCATTTTCTCTGAAAAGACAGTATTTACAGCAAAAAGCCTGAAGGTAATGATTCTACTCACCAGAACAAATTCAATAAGCTGTTGTTCTGGTGACTATAGTGTCCCTTTAAGTACAATAAAGAAAGAAAAAAAAAACATTTGTCATTGTGACACATGCAGAAAAGAATTCTAGCAATGAACTACTAAATTTTAAGAAGCTATTAAGAAAGGCAGACTGTGGCTCATTTATTGTGAATAGAACCATTCAGGTTTAATAGTTCATATTTGTTTCAAAGATACCATTTCAGAATGTCTGCAGCCTGACAATTTTAGAAAGTGATATGAACGTCAGTAGACTGTAAAATAACGTCCTAGTCAGGATTGACATGGCAAATACTGTGAAAATGACTAGTTTAAAAAACAAGTGTCTTATTTTTAGAAAACCTGCAGTTAGCAACGTGACCTTATGGTGCAGGGCTTTAAGTAGCCATAAAGAGACTGTCTCAGGGCTTTAAAAACACCTATTTGAGCATTTTATCTCACTGGTAGGTTGTCTAGACAACTCTTCTAAAGATAATGGAAGTTTGGACTGATGTCTGGGCCACATAACTACTAGTAGGTCAAACTTGATATCACATGTTTAAAGGGACACTATAAGCACCCAGATCTATTCAGCTTATTGAAGTGGTCTGGGTGCTGTGTCCCTGTCAGTTTAAGCCTACAATGGTAATTATTGCAGTTATTGAGAAACTGCAATAATTACCTTGCAGGATTTACTGCACCTCAAGTGGCTGTCTGGTAGGCGCTTCTGGGTTGTTAGGAGACTTTTGGTTGCCAAACTGACGCTGAATGTCCTCACGCTATGTATTGATTCAATGCTTTCCTATTGGGTTGTCCTAATGCGATTGCGGCGCTTGCTACGCATGCTTATTAGGTCCCTGTAGTCAGCTTACTCCATGGGAGGAGCGAAGGCAGAACCTTACCCAGTGCAGAAACATCGGCGTTGGATTAATTTAATGGTCAAAAGGGTTTTTAACGCTTTCATCTATATGGAGGGGATGGGGTGGTGAGGGAGATACAATTTTGTATTTCTAGATTATAGTTCCCCTGTAATCATGGATGAAAATCATTGACTAGTATTACAGGGTTCCAAGCTGTTCCAATTCTGAGGTCTATTTCCTATTTTAGGCTTGTGTCCCACCTTCCAAATGTAATTCCTTAATATTTTTCATACAGGGATACCAAGGAACAATCTGTCAGGATTACTATATGATCCAGCACGTAGAATTGTGTTACACAAATGACTAATAGGTAACATATTACCGGGCCTTATGGCTGGACATAACGTACCAAAGAGTAGTCAGGATACTTGCTGAGGTCAGGGGATACAGAAAGAGACACAACGATAAGGGAAAGCCAGAAGTCAGGAATACCGGAATACAGGGAAGTCAAAACAAAGCCAAATAAAGTTGAGCGGACACCTGGATGTTCGGGTCCGGCGGGTTCGGCCGAACTTTGAAAAAAAGTCCGGGTTCGGGCTCGAACTTGACCCTGAACTTGACCCCGAACCCCATTGAAGTCAATAGGGACCCGAACTTTTGGGCACAAAAATGCCTCTAAAAAACTCATGGAAAGGGCTAGAGGGCTGCAAAAGGAAGTAAAATGGGGTAAGAGTAGGACAAGTGCCCTGCAAACAAATGTGGATAGGGAATTCACTTAAAAATAACATAAAATAAGCAGTCGCTTAGTAGATAACTCCCTAATTCACACAGCTTTTAGGGCGCTATCTACCAAAAGGCTGAAAGACCTAAAGTGGTCTTTCAGCCACATTTACTAATACTAAGTAACGATTACTTAGTATTAGTAAATTCAGCCCCTACTCGCTATACCGCGAGTAGGGGCGAGTCTAGTAAACAGTGAGCAGCCAGTGGCTGCTCACTGTAAAAAAACAACAAAAAAAAACCTATTGCCCCCACCCCTGTGCGACAGGTGGGGGCCCTAAATAAGAATGTGGAGGGAGGGACCTACTGTCCTCCCCCCGGCCTTCACCCCTGCGCGGTGGGTGGGGGCCATAAATAAAAAATGGGGGGGACCTACTGTCCTCCCCGCCGGCCCCCACCCCTGAGTGGTGGGTGGGGGCCATAAATAAAAATTGGGTGGGACGACCTAATGTCCTCCCCCCTGGCCCCACCTCTGCGTGGCGGGTGTGGGCCCTAAATAACAATAAGGGGGGGACCTAAGGTCCTCCCCCCGACCCCCACCCCAGAGCGGTGGGTGGGGGCCATAAATAAAAATCCCCCCCAGGTGACAAGGGGTCCCCAAACCCCTAGTCATCCCCTCCCCCCAAAAAATGACCCCTACCAACCCCCCTCATCATAAAAATAATGAGGGGGGACCCTTGTCTAAATACCTGTAAATAAAAAACAACTTACCATTTGATGTCTTCTTTCTTCTAAAATCTTTTTTCAGCCCCAAAAGAGGCCAAATCAAAATCCATAATAACCCGACGCACTGAGCTCTGCAGGGCAGGGGAAGGCTTATAAAGCCTTGCCCCGCCCTGCAATTAGGCTCAGAGCACTCTGATTGGTGGGTTTAAGCCATCCAATCACAGTGCTCTGACAGGTAAATGAAGAGACTGACAGCTAAGTCTCCACATTTACCTGTCACAGCACTCTGATTGGTTGGCTTAAACCCACTCTGAGTGGTTGGCTTATAAGCTTTCCCCCACCCTGCAGAGCTAAGTCTGCGCAGAGCCCTCCATGGGTGAAGAAGGATTATTTATTTTTTTTGCGCTCGTTTAAAAAAAAAAAAAAATTATTATTATTATTTTGGATTTTATTTGGCCTTTTTGGGGGCTGAAAAAAGATTTTAGAAGAAAGAAGACATCAAATGGTAAGTTTATTTTTTTTTTACAGGTATTTAGACAAGGGTCCCCCCTCATTATGTTTAGGATGAGGGGGGTTGGTAGGAGTAATTTTTTTGGGGGTAGGGGGGTGACTAGGGGTTTGGGGACCCCTAGTCACCTGGAGGGGGGAATTTTTAATTATGGCCCCCACCCACCACTCAGGGGTGGGGGCCGGGGGGGGGGCAATAGGCCCCCCTTTAGTTCAAAAGCGCCCACTCACGTGTCGGAATGTTTTTTTTTTTTTTTAACAGTGAGCAACCACAAGCTCCAAAAAGCCTAATGTTCGCATTCGCTCAACTCTAAAGCCAAAGTCAAAAAACAGAAAATACTTGAATCAGGAACGCGCTCTCGGACAACCACTAGGGAAACCACAACAGGGCAATGAGGAAAGGTAATTTTGAGTTTAAATACCTGCTTTGCGGCACGCTGAAACGTCGTCACTCATGTGAGCGGACGTGGGGGTATAATTTGCCATGGATCCACAGCGGTAGGCGTCCATTAGCATGCTGCAAGTGTTAGTCATGCAGACGCGCGGCCATTGGGTGCAGAAACGGCAAGGTGAGGAAGAATATGTTACACAATCCCAGGTCATCGCAGCATAAGTGTATCACTAGTTGCACTTGCGAATGTTTCAAAATAATGCATCTCTTCTCAATACCCTATCCATTACCTGTGGCATGCTCACAGAGCACATTCAATGTATTTGTTAGCAAAATGAACAATTGTTTTTCTTCAGTTCGTTGGTCACCTCTCATGCACTTCATAGGGATGAAAGTGAACATGTGGAGGAGACAACATTCCTGCAGATAACACAGTGTACGTGAAAAACTTCAGTGACCTAAGTCCCAGAGTCTACAGGTATTTGAGAGCGTCTTAAACATTGTGGTATGTTATTTATGTGAGATCTTCATCAAAATGTGTTTACAGGTTTGGAATCTGTGGAACACATATTTACTTTGTTGATTCTGGCAAATTGCCAATCTTTTGTCATGGAGGCGTGATGAATAACAGTCAGAAATAAGGTAATCTGAGATTTTATCCTTTGTATGGCTCTTGTTGTGTACATCGGGACCAGAAATACCTGTATTGCCAGCGTACCTACTGAATTATTTCTAGAAAATGTAGAAAGGTTATTGGAGGGTAATCAAAACCCTACAGTACACTAGTAGTAGTCCTGGTGTAAACTTTTCTGTAATACTTCACATTTCAATGCGTTTGAACTGAGGTTTATATATGTAACATATTTATAACTACACACATTATTAAAATAACAAATTAAATTAAAGCACGTAAAATAGTTATGTGTTATAATACCTTATAACAGCGGACTGCATGTTTTTTGACAATCCTTTTCCCATGCTCAGCTAAGATCGGAAAGTCTGATTATCATGCAGAATGTAGCCTTCAAACATTTGCAATGCCAGTGTTACTCACCTCTTTTATATAGCCATGGATTCAGGTAAAATTGCTTTTTAAATATCTTATACTTTCAGACCAACTCCGTGAATGTAGAGATACCCCAGTGAACTGTGTGGTGTCAAGAACACTTTATGAGGGTATGCAGTAGTGGGAAATCTGTGAGTTTGTTGTGTTCTTTTGGCCTCCATATTACAAGGTCCTACACCTGGGCATTCCATATATTCCCAACCATACTGGAGCTCATAACAACATGACTGATCTACCTCTGGGTACAGAAAACAGGAAAAACACTACTGAATTTAGATGGCCAAATATTAGTTAATAATGATTGTCATTTGAAGTAGGTTTTGATCTAATGCTATGTACGTCTTTTAAAATTGCATAACAGAAGATCTAATGATAAAAACAAATGTATTTTGTAACTAGACCAACTGGGACATTAAAGGAAAAACTCCTGGGGATGTTGATTTGTATATATAGCTATATAAAGGAAAATGGATTCCTACTTACCGTTCTTTTCTTTTCCTGGTCATAGGCCATGGCAGCACAACAATGGGTAGCTCCTCCTTATCCCTAATTAGACAGGAACTCATAATTAAAAGAAGGTTACATAAGCCCCCTCCCACCCTTCCTCACTCAGTCTTGTTTCTAGCAATAAATCTGGATGGGATCCTTGTGCTGCCATGACCTATGACTAGGAAAATTCAGGAACTAGGAATACATTTTCCTTTTTCCTGGCCATATCCATGGTAGCACAACATTGGGTAATACCCAAGCAATTACCAAGAGAGGGAAAGAAAACTAAGACACTATATGAAATCCAATGCAAAGTGTATTGTCACAAAAAAACAAACACGTAAAACTTATTAAACACCAAAAAAATTGAACTGTTAACAGCAGAAAGGACACTTTTGCCAAACTGATCCAATTGTCCTGCTTTAACATCCAATTGGTAATGTCTGATAAATGTATTGGATGAGGACCAAATGGCTGCTCTGCAAATCAGCTCTGAAGAAACCTTAGTTGCTGCTGCCCAAGAGGAGTCACTCAGTCACTGGAACCCCTAAAACTTGACATGTTTTTACAATAGCCGACACAATCCATGTGCTTATTGTAGCTTTAGAAGCCATAGTACATTTATTTATCCCATTAGGGAGGACGAAGAGCCTCTGCAAGGAACGCCAGGGAGCAGTTCTGTATACATAAATTTTGAGACACCTCACCAGGTCAATTTTATATAGATCTGAGCTCTCATCCGACTGGAGAGCAGGAAGAACAATTTCCTCATTAATATGGAAGAAAGAGGTTACTTTCAGCTGGAATTCCGGAAATGTACGTAGGATGACTCTATCCTTGTGGAAAAGTGTAAATGTTTTTTTAGCTGACAAGGTGTGCAATTCCGATACCCTCCTTCCTGATGTTAAAGCCACCATCAGAACTGTTTTAATTGTGAGTAAATGAGTAGATATAGACTCCAGAGGTTCAAAAGGATGGGACTTAAGTGTCTTTAAAACCAATGGCAGATCCCATGGAGGAGAAAAAGGCTTGATCGGAGGATGGATCTTTAAGACTCCTGCAAGAAATCTGGCCATGTCCCAATCTAATGCCCATTTTTTTGGGTTATGAAGACTGATAAGGCTGATACATGAATTTTCAAAGTTAAAACGAAGCCCTTTATCTAGGCCAGATTTCAGGAATTCCAATATGTCTTTAGTAGTAGGTTTATGGATATTGATGTCTTTGGATGATGCCCAGGAAGAAAACGCATCCCAAACACTTTAATATGTAGATGATATAGAGTGCTTTCTTGCTTGCATGAGAGTATCAATGACAGCTTGAGAGAAGGCTTTGTCTTTTAACCCTTCCCTTTCAAATTCCATGCCATCAGGATGAGGGATGCTGGATTCGGATGAAGAACAGGACCTTGATGTAGAAGGTCTGGGACTCTTGGAAGCTTTAATGGAGGTTCCTTGCAAAGGCTCATGAGAAGAGGGAACCATGGTCTGTTAGGCCAAAAAGGAGCCACTAGGATTATTGATGTCTTTTCTTGTCTCAGCCTCCTCAAAACTATGGAGGATTAGAGGATATATATATATATATATATATATATATATATATATATATATATATATATATATATTTATTTATTATTGGCATTTATATGGCACCAACATATTCCACACAATAATATAAAGGGGGAAAATGTAAATATTTATATATATTTGTGTAAGATATATATGTGTTGATGAGATGGCAGTGCTGCTCCTCTCAAATAGGTCTCACTTATGGTCAGTAATTCAGAATGTGTGTTGTGTGCAGCATATTTTTGGCTTAGTATAGATCCTTTCTAAAAGCCTCTTACTGTATAGAACTCCTAGCTTCCGAAAAATTTGGTAATTTTAAAATTTGGTTGGCTGGTTCTAAGCTTGCGGTATCACTTCAATTTCTACTCCTGATTCTATACATCAGACCTATTTGTGTCCACACTTAATTTAATCTCAAAGAACAGAGATAAAAGTCTAAATGTCTATTTAAAAACTCTTTGCAATCAATAAATACACCCAAGTACCATGCACAGAGCCAAGTAAGAACCTTTGGTAAATAAATGATTTCATAACCCTATTTATGAGTCCTTTTTTTCTGTCCAACCTGGTTAAAGAAATACAGTATCTAACTAATCATACAGTGTGTTGTTTT